GGTCATGGGCCAATTTTACACTCTTGTCAATGTTAATGTGAATGTTAACATGTCAATGTGAATATTCACATTGTCAACGAGCCGGGCCGGGCACGCCCCGACCCGGGCCTGGGCTCGGGCTTCGGGTTGCCCACAGGTCATGGGCCAATTTTACACTCTTGTCAATGTTAATTTTAATGTTAATATGTCAATGTGAATATTTATATTGTGAACGGGCCGGTCCGGGCCCGCTCCGGGCGACGAGCTAGTTTCGGGCCGCCCACGGGCCGCAAGCCAATTTTACATTCTTATCAATGTGAATGTTAACTTGTCAATGTGAATATTCATATTATCAACAGGCCGAGCCGGGCCTATTTTTTTGGCCTGTGGGCCGGCCCGGCCCGACTCGAATTTTTCCGGGCACCCACGAGGATCGACATGGGCCGGGCCCCTACACATTGACGATATGAACATTTACGTTGACGGTGTGAACATTCACATTAAGGGTATTTTGGTAATTATGTCACCCATAGGACTTATTGAAATATAAGAAAATAATGTGAACTAAATGGAACATAAGTAGATGAAAAGAGTATTTTGGTCTTCTTATCTTAAATTGGACCTAATGGAATAGTCAAAAAGAATATGAGTTGGATGGAATAAAGCTCTTAGAAAATGGATTTATCAAAAAGGCTCCCATTTTAATAACTATGTCGTCCATAGGATTTATTAAAATATAAAAACATAACTTGGATGAAGGAAAATATAAATAGATGAAAAGGAATTTATAAATAAATGACCACAAAAAAAATTTGAAATAACATTATTTAACCTTGCATGCTAAAATAAAGGGTGAATTACACTAATGGTCCATATAGTTTGGGGTTTGTGTCATTTTGGTCCCTGACTTTTTAATTGTAACATATTTGACCTTGAATTTTGAATTTTGTTCCAAATAAGGACAATTGTAAATACTATTGAATTTTTCAAAGGCAAAATCATTAATTTGATAAAATATAAATTAATTTGATAAAAATAAATAACAAAAAATTATTTTTAAATTTTTAAAAATTATTTCTAACTACTAAAGATAAAATTATATAAAATTGATAAATCTTTTAGACAATTTTTTTTTTTGCCAAATTAATTTTTATTATGTATTTAGATGCTAATCATGTAAAATTAATCATGCAATTTTTATTAATTTTTATCAATTTTACATAATTTTATTTTTAGTGGGTAGAAATAATTTTTAGAAAATTTTAAAATATTTTTTTAACATTTATTTTTGACAAATTAGTTTATATTTTATCAAATTGACTGAAATTAAGCAATAATATGTTCAATTGTCCTTATTTGAAACAAAATTTAAAATTTATAATCAAATGTGTTCCAATTGAAAAATCAGGAACTAAAATGATACAAGTCCCCAACTATAGGGACTAATAGTGTAATTTGCCCTAAAATAAATTAGCCTATAACCCTTGCAAGTTTCAACTCTTCTCCTCCTCCTCCCTCCTCGGTCGATCAGCAACAATCAACATCCATCACTACCTATGAAACCAGTCCACAACTACCCAACAACATACTACCCTCACTAACTTTTAACAGTTAAATTCACACACAGCTGTGCTTCCATATGAGTGCCACGCCAACCTTAGGGAAGTGGCTACACAAAACTCCCAAGAAAAGTACATACTTGGGAAAACCAAAATCATCAATTTTGTTTAAAGAAAAAACCCTGGAAACAAGCTCAATAGAGCACCATTTACAAAAAATAAAATAAAATAAAATACAATAGGGTTGCCTTGAATGAACACAATCAAAAGGAGATGCTTCATCACTGAAAAAAGGTACTTTAATGATGCCATAAATTATTACATACAACTGCCACATTATCCGCAGCAAAGAAGCCCACTAATAAATGGAAAATCAAATGGTCAAAAGCATATAATGTATTAGCCTACTTGTCATCATACATGGAATTAGCTTTGCGATGAGGCACCAGGGTTGTTACTGGGCAGAGCTGCTAAACCAGAGCCAGAATCCTGATTGGTTTGCTCATCACCAGCATGCCGAACAAACTCTTCGACTGTCATGTGCAACCCATGGCACGCACAAACAATCTTGATCTGGATTGGGCTATATCTATAAGTGACGCCAGAAATCGCTTTACCATTTGGACCTGGACCCTTTGTGGAAACCCAAGGTAGATTTGGGTATGAGCCGCATCCACCAAATTTTACGTCTGCAGCAATACCGGGCCTAATAGCTGGAAATTCAGATGGGGAACCTTCTACTCCTGGTTTATCAGATTCAACTTGTGCCCCAAACATCATGTTGCTTCCCTTCGCACCATCTTGTGTCTGAGAAGAGGACCCTCCATCGGTGACGTGCTGTTTTCCATCACCTTTGGCCTGTTCTAATGCCATCCCATTGTATTGTGAAGCTTCAGATGGCTTGTGCATAATTACTGGCATCCCAGCTACATTGATTAGGTAAGGGTAAGGAAGCCACACAAATCTCAACTTAAGAAGCCATAAAAATATATACACATATAGACACACATATATGGCAATATTGAAAATCAATCTTAAGGTTCGATTGTGAAAATCAATCTCAAGATCCTTTCTAAGTACAATAATAGAAGTGTTTTCATACATATCCGGAAATGATGCCACAGTAAGACCAATATCTTTAACTCACGATGCTTTCACTTGAACAAATTTTCTTTAAATGACCAACCCTGCATCCTACCCTGGTCAAACTAGTGAATTAGTCAAAATCGAGATTGTAACAAATAGGTTCTTTATGTGGTACATAAGAAAAGAAAAACAAAATCAACTCGCACATTTAAAAAACATGTCTCCATGCTTCATAAATACTATCCAGTCAATCTACCATTTGGGTCAATGACTATAACTAAGTTCCAGGCTCAGTAAACCAAGAGCAAACTTGGGAATTATCTACCCCAGAGGTGTGGAGTTCAGAAACCTCAACAATAGAACTCTTTAAATCCTACTACTATACATGTTTACAAATACATATATGGACATTCAAAAAATAAAATCTACAGTTTAAAATTCTTATACTATTATCTTTATTTCCATTAACAATAGAATACTGTACGGGAGCGAAATATCCTCTGCTTTCCGTACTCCTTGCACTCCAAGCCTCTCTTGACGGCGTCTATCTCTGCAACACAGAAATGGTGAGCTGCCCGGCGGTGGTGTGCCGGATAAACCCTCCGACGATCAAGTCAGACCACGGAAGGAAGAAGAAGGCTATCCGAGAAAGAGTGAGAGTGTTAGTGATAGAGTGAATTTTTCATTACAAAAGCATTGCTATCTTTTACATCAAGTGCCAAAAGGCTAAAGGTCTAGAAAAGCTAAACAACACAAGCAAATCACATCTTAAAAGTAAAAGACCTTAAGGTTGGCCGCATTCCATGATCTGGGGACAGCCTTGCCATCTAAATCTTTCAGATGGTATGCCCCTTTACCAGCAAGACCAATCACCTTGTATGGTCCTTCCCAATTTGCACCGAGCTTTCCTTCGCCAGGGACCACTGTGTTTGCTAAGCACCTTTCTTAATACCCAGTCCCCAATCTTGAACAGCCTGGGGTGCACAGCCTTGTTGTACTTTTTGGAGAGTTCTTGTTGATAAGCCGCTATGTGGATCAATGCTCGCTCCCTCCTTTCTTCAGCAAGGTCCAGCTCCAATGCCACCGCTTCATTATTCAGATCTAGCTGGAAACTTTCAGAGCGGATGGGTGGCATGCCAATTTCCAACGGGATGACGGCCTCCATGCCATAGGCCAAAGCGAATGGTGTTTCTCCGGTCGACCGCCTTGGCGTGGTGCGGTATGCCCAAAGCACATTAGGGAGTTCTTCAGCCCACTTCCCCTTGGCCTTCTTAAGCCGCTTCTTCAACCCGTCCAAGATGGTCTCGTTTGAGGCCTCTGCTTGACCATTTGATTGAGGATAGGCCGGCGTTGAATTGTAGAACTCAATGTTCAACTCTTCGCAAAATCCGCAAAAGAGTTTCCCATCGAATTGAGTGTCATTATCCGAGATGAGGGCCTTGGGTATACCGAAGCGAGTGATTACATTTTGCCAAACAAACTTCTTCACATCCTTTTCCTTTATGGTCGCTAATGGCTCGGCCTCGACCCACTTGGTGAAGTAGTCGGTCGCAGCGATGAAGAACTTGCGATTGCCCGGTGCTGCTGGGAGTGGTCCAACAATATCCAATCCCCAAAGCGTGAACGGCCAAGGACTTGAAAGTGGGAGCAAATCTCTAGCTGGCTGGTGGATCTGGTGAGCGAATTTCTGACACTTTTCAAATCGGCGAACGTATTTCTGTGCGTCCGCCTTCATGCATGGCCACCAGTAACCTTGAGAGATCACTCGGTAAGCCAGAGACCTGCCCCCAGTATGGCTGCCGCAGATGCTTTCATGGATCTCATACAGGAATGCTTCCACCTTGGCGGGGTGGACACACTTCAGATACGGCCCGGTAAAAGACTTCTTATACAAGGCTCCAGATAGAGAGAGCCAAAACCGTTCTGATTTGGCCCGAATTTTGTTGGCCACCTTCTTTTCTTCTGGTAGAATTCTATCTTTTAGGAAGGCGATGATATGATCCATCCAAGAAGGGCCCAAGTCGGTGCAAAGTACCTCGGCCACTTCCGGTTCTTCTATACTTGGCCGCGGTAAAAATTCTATCATCAAGGGGTTGGGAAAAACTGTCTGAGTAGAAGCGAGCCCGGCCAACTCATCAGCCGTGTTGTTTCCTTCGCGGTTGATCTGCTCTACCCTTATGGCATCGAACTTCTTGATCTCTGCACGCACCAGCGCCTGATACTTGGCCATTCTTTCATCCCTGGCCTCATACTCCCCTGAGACTTGATTGACCACCAGCTTGGAATCGCTGAACACCATCAGGGCCGACGCCCCCATGTCTGTTGGATGCCCCATCGACGAAGAGTTTCCACATCTCGCCGACAAACAGCTTCCAGCAATCATAAGGGTTTTGGGAACTCCTCAAATCCAAGTCTCTGGTTGGCTCACTCTGGTCTCTTTCCTCGTCATGGTTGACTCCCTCCTTCATCGAGTCATTCGCCTTCACTGGTTCGGTCGCTCTTTGCCCTTCCTCCTCTTGCGCACCAACACTTGTTTTTGTTGCCAGAACCATGGGTTGTGCTAAATCCGCACCAACCAAATCAATCGAGCAGACTGGATGCATCCCAGGGGCAAATTCCGCCACAAAGTCAGCAAGTGCTTGAGCCTTGATTGCGGTGCGCGGTCGGAACTTGATGTCATATTGCCCTAATTCCACGGCCCATTTCAAAATTCTCCCAGTGAAGTCTGCCTTTTCAAAAAGCACCTTGAGCGGGAACTCGGTTAACACAATTATTGTATGGACATGAAAATAGTGTGCCAGCTTTCTTGACGCCATCATTAGGGCCAGCGCCAATTTTGCCAAGGGAAGATATCTCGTTTCGGCTAGGAGCAGAGTCTTGCTTACATAGAAGATCGGTAGGTGTTGGATGCCTTCAGCACGGACCAATACCACGCTGACCGCGTGTTGAGAGACAGCCAAGTAGAGGTACAACTCTTCGCCCGGCTGAGGTGTGACCAAAATAGGGGCTGAGGAGAGATATGCTTTCAGGCCTGCTAGTGCGCGGTCGCACTCGTCATCCCAGAAGAACTTGGACTTCAAAGTTTTAAAGAAGGGCCTGCAACGATCCGAAGACTGGCTGATAAATCTGTTCAACACGGCTGCCATCCCGGCAAGATGTTGCACGTCCTTCGTGGAGTTAGGACGCTCCAGGTCTTGTATAGCCTTGATTTGTGATGGGTCAGCTTCAATCCCTCGATTTGTGACCAGAAAACCCAAAAATTTCCCAGTGCCGACTCCGAAGGCGAATTTGGAAGCATTCAAACGAAGCTTGTGGCGTTTAAGTATAGCAAACATCTCTGCTAGGTCGGAGAGGTGCTGAGCTTTCTCCTTACTTTTCACCACCATATCGTCGATGTAGGCCTCCATGGTGCGGCCCAGCATTGGGGCGAACATCTTTGTCACCATCCGTTGAAAAGTTGCTCCGGCGTTTTTCAGCCCGAACGGCATGACTTTATAGCAATACAAGCCTCTGGGAGTGGTGAACAATGTGATCTCTCGGTCCGGTTTATACATGGCTATCTGGTGGTAGCCACGATACGCGTCTAGGAAGCTAAACCTCTGATGGCCAGCGGTTAAGTCCACCAGCTAGTCAATTCGAGGGAGGGGAAAGCTATCTTTTGGGCAAGCACGGTTGACTGTCTTGTAATCAACGCAGACTCGCCATTTGCCATTCTTCTTCGGAACCACCACCGTGTTGGATATCCACCGAGGGTATTGCACCTCTTCTATGGCTCCAGCTTCCAACAAGTTCTTCACTTCTTCTTCTACCACCTCGGCATGGTGCAGAGCTGAGCGGCGCGTCCTTTGGATGACTGGTCATGCATTAGGAAAGACATTCAACCGATGGCAAATGAAGCTCGGGTCAACGCTAGGCATATCGTAAGGCGTCCACGCAAAAGCCTCCAAATTGGAAGTCAAGAAGTTGACATAATGTAACCGCTCGGCGCTAGACAAAGATGATCCCAAGAGGAAGAACCTAGTTGGGTCGTTCTCGTCGATGCGCACTTCCACCAAATCCTCGACCGATTTTTCCTTGGCCTTTCTACCTACGTCTTCAAGGACCTCCTTACTACGTTACACGGACTCATCAGTTTTGGCGAAGTACCCGTGTCGATACGACGCGACACGGGTACGGGTACAGGATACGGATGGGATACGGACGGGATACGGCATGGAAGAAGTGGATACGGCATGGAAGAGAAGACGTAGAGTAAAGGAGAAGAGAAAGAAACCTGGTCAGCGAGAGGATCCTGATCGGCGACTTCGAACCAGTCGACTTCGATGACCTTTGAACCAGTCGCAACAGTCGACTTCGATGACCTTCGAACCAGTCGCGTCTCTCACTCGATCGCCTCTTCGACCAGATCGCGTCTCTCGCCTTCGCTCTCTCTCCTTTTCGCCTCTGTCCTTTTCGCCTGTCTTATCTTATACATATGTATAGAATAGAAGATATAAGATATAATACGAAGATATAAGATATAATACTTATAATATATATAATATATAATATATAATACTTACTTATAATATATATAATATATAATATATAAATAATATATAATACTTATATAATATATAATACTTATATTTATAACAGTTAATAAAAAAATACATATATAATATAAAATAAAATAAAATAAAATAAAATTAATAAAAACACATTATTTAAAAAATAAATTAAATAATTAATATGTATTAAAAAAATATTTATTCCTTATTTATTATATTTTTGTTATTTATAATATATATGTCAATTAAAAGTAAAAAAAAATTATATAGATAAATCAGAAAAATTATCA